GTGGGAATATGATAAGAACCAGATGATATAAATTTATTAAGCAAACCAGTGGTTCATATTATCTGGGAAATAACTGGCCTAAATTCTGTATCAATGCTGTAGTCCACAAGAGTTTGATTGCATTTTTCACTGTCTGTACTGCTGTTTAATCTAAGAAACACACTGGGTGCTTGAAAAAAGGACTTCAGCAGCCTTTTACTGAAAGAGGAGGAAAACTGCATGCCTCAGAACCAGAGGAGAAAGTAAACCAGGTGATCTGTGTTTATACACACAGTCTTCTGTGTGGCACTGACAAATAGCTGGATTCTGTAGGGATAGCACTGTTCCAAACAAAATTTTAAATTCAATTCCAATATGTGACTAAGATTTATTTTCTTAAGGTTAAACTTCTTTTGTAGACTTCAGGACATGAACAGGTCTTGCTGCTCTTCATTTTTCTGCCTCTATGCACCTACACACATGTGCACACTTATGCTTGTAAAAGAAACCTGGTTTTTATCAGGCATTCAGCTCCTGGATGTCCAGGTAGTTGTTGTGCCTTAAGGATGTGTGACACTTGTATCCCAGAATAGTCTAAATGAATTCTGTGCACTGTAACCAGAAAGTGTAGGAAGCACTATTGAATGTAACATGAATGCCTGACAACTCTTCAATAAATTCAGAAATTACTATTAAACACTGAAGCTGGATTTTTTGAAGAATCAGGTTGGAGATCTGTCTCTATTAGTCTTATCTGATTATGTCAGATTCCTTTTTGTTTGTATCATGAAAATTCCTTTTTTTGACTTGTAATTTAAAACTTTTTTCTTTTACTTCTGTAAGCATCTTCACCTGAGTACCCTATCTACTGAGAGTGATTTCATTTTTTACACAGGATCCTTTTTGCTTTCTGGTCTAATAGCACAAGCTGTTCTTCATATTTCTCATTGGACAGCTGCAGTAGGGGGCATATGTGGCCCGAAGTTTAGAGTCCGACTAGCTGAGGGGGAAAGGCCGACGCCCCTCTGCAATTCCTGGCCAGCACCCTTCGGCGTCTGATGGCCTCGGGCTGTGCTGGCTGCGGACTGGCGTACACCGCTGGTATAGGAGAGGAACGGAGCTGACCATTTCCCGGGGGTTAAACATCGGTTTATTCAAGGTGATGCGGGGTCCAAACACGGGGAAACCAACCGGGAAAAAGTTTTTTCATAGGGGGTGAAAACAGGATTATAAAGGAGGGGGGTGGGTACAGGCGGAGCCAATCGGGAAAGGTGAGGGGATGAACTTCACAGAACTGACACTCCATGGAGACCAATAATCAAAAGGTAAAGGAGGTGTCCTGGGACCCCAGCCAACCACCACCTCCAGAGAGGAGAAGGTTCTCGAAACCTGGGAGGAGGAAGGGAGTGATTGACTGGACAGGGAGGAAACAACTTTCACTTATAAGGGAAACCAGGGGAGGAGCAATTACATATCGGCAACTATGAATAGCGGTTACTATAGCAACTTAGCTGACAGGCTAGCACTGGCGGGAAAAACTGGGGGAACGAACCCATTTTACACATAATAGGGGAGAACAATACATAAATTGGGGGAATAACACAAGAAACTTAACAACACACTGCCACAGACAGCTCTTTGGTAGATGCAGCATCACCATCAGATTAAGATGTATATACTAAGATAGTAAGGGATTAAGGAAGATCTGGTTTTGATTAGTGCTAGCAGATTTATTTGTTTATATAGGTCATCAATAAGCAAATTGCTTAAGGGTGGCATTTCTGAATTGATACTTTTGGTGTCAGGGCATCCTGAGTTTTGTCTCAACAAAGAAGTGAATTTTTTCTGGGAAGCTGGGGCTGACATCCACCTAGATTTGACAGAAGGGGTAAGGAAGTTCTTCTGGTACCAGCAACAGAGCATAATGAGCCTTGATGACTGCGTTTTGCTTTTTTGACATACTCTGGCATTTTGAGAACCACCAATCTGTAGTACCTCTGGCAGAGTAGAAGACTTTTTCTGTGATGGAACTGTTACTAAAAGAAAGATTTAGGTGGTGCCAGCTTTACTCTTTTCAACTTTAAGGGCATATACTCCCCCCCCCCTTTTTTTTCCTTCTCTTTACTATTTATGACAGGAACTTCAGGGCTTTAAAGAAGTTTTGTAGGAGTTCTTCCACTGCAGAACTCTTGACTGCTAGCTTAAAGTAAGATCTTTAGTTCATTTTGATGAAAGTAGTAGCAATTATTAACTGTCTGTAAAAACTACTTTTGAAAAATCTATGCTAGGCAATGAATTCTTGGCTAGTAATTGTGTATATCTCCTTCAGAGCTGGAATAAATCTGTAATGGACAGTTGTTTTCTGATTTGAAACGACTTCTTGGGTATTGCTAGAACTTCAAGCTCAGTTTTCACTCACAGGAAGGAAAACACTCTACTTTCTTTAACATTAAACATGAATGGCGTTGAGATGAATTATGTTTATTCCACTTGTTAAAAGAAAACTTGGACCCTGTTCCAGGTTGAGATCACATGTTTTCTGGGAATATATAGGTCTTAAAGCAAATTTTGGAATGCAAGTAATAGGCTCACAGATCTCCTGTGGGTGGGATCACAATTTATGTCAGAAGAACTTGGACCCACAGAATGTCTAGCTGTGCTGATGCCTATCATATGTGGGGGACTAAGAGTACTTGGTTCACGTGAGTTTACCTTGTAACCCTCTTAAATTATGTCTTTGAGCTTTCAACCAAGGGTAATGATCAGGCCATGCACCCATCTGCAGTTTGAAGGTATTTGTTTTCCTATAAACTGGAAGCACCAACATGTATTTTTATTTTAAGAGAATAAAACTGTAAATATTCATTTTTTACTTTATAAAAATTACTCTTCAAAAAGCAATCAGGTGAAATAACCTCAGTAAGTTGTCATGTCTTCTATCTCCAATGTAAATCTAGAGACTGAGTCACATATAGTCATAATCAGAATCTGATTGCTTATGAAACTTTAAGTTTTACATTTACCCTTGCAATTGCTGTGGGTTTTTTTGGTTTGGTGGGTTTTTTTTGTTTGTATGTTTTTTGGTTTTTGTTTTTTAAATAAAGTTAAGACAAAATGAGTGTGTCAAATAATTGTTACACATTCATTAGACAGGTCCCAGATTATCTCTCACAGCCTGAATTAATTTTCTTTTTTACTCATGAATAAAATTATTCAGGGCTGGTTCACCATATTTCATTACTACCATATTTCACCATATTTCAATACTACTACTCAGCTTTACTGAAGGTGAAATTATTTCAGTGTTGAGTTATCTCTGTGTCTCAAATAATCCCTTAATGTTGCCAACAAACAGGAGGTCCTGGCTGATGGCACAGCATTGTCAGCTGGGCAAGGGAGGGGATTCTCCTGCTCTGCTCTGAGCTGGAGTGGTCTCACCTTGAGTGCTGAGGGCAGTTTTTGGCTGCCACAATATGAGAAAGACATTAAACTGTTAGAGAGCTCCAAAAGAGCGCGACAAAGACGGTGAAGGGCCTTGAAGAGAAGCCATGTGAGGAGCAGCTGAGGTCACTTGGTCTGTTCAGCCTGGAGAAGAGCAAACTGAGGGGAGACTTCATTGCAGTTACAACTTCCTTGTGAGGGGCAGGCACTGATTTCTTCTCTGTTGTGACAGTGACAGCGCCTCAGGGAATGGCCTGGAGATGTCAGGAGGAGGAGGAGATTTGGACTGGATATCCAGAAGAGGTTTTCACTGAGAGGATATTGGAACACTAAGAGGCTTCCTAGGGCAGTGGTCCCAGCACCAGCCTGACAGAGTTCAAGAAGTGTTTGGACAACGCTCTCAGGCACATGGTGTGACTCTTGGGGTGGCCAGTGCAGGGCCAGGAGTTGGACTTGATGATTCTGATGGCTGTTTTCCAACTCAGTATCTTCTGTGATGCTATGAAAGCTAAAGCTGACTGCTGTAACATGGGCCAGCAGTGATGCTTGCCGATGTTTTTCTGTTTAAGTGTATCTTTAAAGTCTCACTCATGTCCTTGTTTTGCTCTCTTATTAATATCAAGTGCAGTTAGAACTGCTATTCACCAGGTGCTGGCCCATAGCACAAGTAAAGTTTTGAAGGAGAGCACTGCCTATCTCCATCAGACACATGCATTTTTGGTGCAACTTTGCTAGATTAGTCACTTTTTCCAGCAAAAACACATTGCCCACTAAGGACAATATCTATCTATATGGTTAAATAATTTGTGTCCTTAAGAATCTATGTTTCTGCGGTGCATTTGCATGAATGAAAATGAAATGCTGAGTATAGATATGACTGTTTTATTTGAGACAGATACTGCCATATGTTTATGACATATATGCTTGTGACCAACATTCTGATGTTATTAACTTCTGCTTTTCAGGGAACGTGCGTTTTATTCTTTAAACTAGCAAACAGTAGGAATGAAACAATTAGGGAAACTTTGTCCTGCAATTTTCATAGCCCTTTAGACAGAGATGCGATGGTAGTTCAAATTTCTTATGGTAAATGCATGAAAGTTATTATATAGAATGCCTTTTTAGCACATTGATTCACTATGTTGTGTTTCAGTTTTTCCTTAGGAGCATTTTGGAAGGTTCCTTTCAATATGCCTTTTCATATCTTCTAACACAGCAGCATAACTTCAGAGCACAATGTCTGATGTCTATAATACTCCATTTCTTAATCAGAAAAGATCCTTTGTCTCACTGTTGTTCAAAGAGCTGTCTTAGAGCAGTCTTCGCTAGCCTCAAACTGAGATGAAGTAGGATATTCAAAAGATGAAAGTGAATTAATACACCATTCACTACTAAGGAACTGTTGTCAACCAGTAGGCATGCCAGAGAGGAACAGATTTATTCAATTTATTCGGTACTTTTAATAACCAAAATGATATCCAGCAAAAAGAAAGGTTTAAACTAGCAGCAGAAGTTTTGATGCTTAAATGTTCTTTCCTGATTTCTTTTTTTTTTTTTTTTTCCCTTTTCCCTCTCCTCAGAGCTCCAGAACAGCTCGCTCTGAGGAGGACCGGGACTCGCTGTGGGATGCGTGGGGCTCGTGGAGCGAATGCTCGCGCACCTGCGGAGGAGGGGCCTCGTACTCACTGCGACGCTGCCTGAGCAGCAAGTAAGTGCCTGGATGTTTTCTACTTTATTGATGGAAAAATTCAACCTACTTGTATCTGCCAGACCATAAGAAGCAACCAGTGGAAGTCTTGACCTACACTGAAATTTCCATCTTGTTGTCAAAAAATTATGGTAATGTTTTGGTTTGTTTTTTTTTTTTTTTAATTTGGGCAAGCAGCCAATGAGCTTGATAAGGAAGCACCCTTTAAAGTAAAGCAAGAATCCATGGAGATAAAAATGTGGTCTGGACAGCTTAAAAGGCTGCCAGTTCCTGAAGTTGAACTTCCTCCACTTTCACCATTTAAGCAGTAAGAGTTGTCATGTGCTTATACAAGAGTACAGATTATTCACTACATTTAGTACCCCACAGTTTCAGCCACTCTGACTATAAAAGCAACACAATAATCAAATGAGGCATCCTGAGCTATATAAGAAAGAGTAACAGTCCTACAAAGGATATCTTGCAAATTGAATTTCAGGTAGGAAATACTCAATACCAGCAAGGCCCCTCCCAACAGAGATAAAATGCTCTGGTACAAAGATGAATTCTGGGTATTCAGTCAGGCATCTGAGATTTTATTCCTACCCACTTACTAGCTTGCAATGCAAAAAGAACAACTCATTTGACATCTTTTCCACTCTGTACTTTATGTAAGTTTTATCTGCAAAATATTTCTAGCAAATATTATTTCTATTTACTTAAGAAAAAAAATTTACCTGCAGTAAACATGGTATATGTGATAAATATTAAGAGATTTCTGATAAATAATATGGAGGGAAACTCCGGACCCAACCTTTCTGGCTTATTGCCATTTCTGATACCTTATATATTGTAGGAGAAAAAAATCTAGTACAATTTTCCATCCTGCATACTTTCTTTCATATTTTTATTCATGTGCTTGTAAAACTGATGTTAATATAACAAACAGTGGCCATACAGTCCAAATAATTTCCTCTTTCTGACACTTTAATATGTGATGTTGTTTAGTGAAGACAGGAAACAGCACAAGGCATTGAACATAACACCAGAATAGGATATTGTGTATTTTAGCTTTATCTCTGAACAGTCTCTTAGTAGCCCCATTTATTGAGTTGACTGTGCGCAAAAGTCTGCTGGAAGAAAAGATAGGCAAAGATATCTGTTGAAATAAGTGGAAAACCAGTACTTTGCTATTGCATTCCCATGGATTAAACAAACATAAAATTGATTTTCAAAGTAGGACCAGATTCTAATATCTTGTTAGTTTCATGGCCAGTTAGTTTGAGGCCAGTTGCATTCACCTCAAAATCTGAAATTTCAGAGACAGGAACTTAATTTTAATCACTGTATATTGTTTTCCATACTTAAAATAATAAATTACTGTCAATATGTTATTTACATGTAAACATGAAGCCAGACGGACCAGGAGATCTGGGGACTCTGAGCAATAGGTGCTTTCTTTCCTCCTTCATGAGAACTCTCTGTAGGTTCTAGAGGGCAATCTTGGACTTCCAAATAGTAGTAGCAGTTGTCACAGTATGTGACAATGTGAGTAAAAATGATTTCTTCTGGACTCCCTTTGATTCTTGTGCTGTTCAGGATGACCCTGAACCTTAATGAGTGGAATAGGGAATAACCTCATAAATCACACAAAATTAGGTTTCATACATGACCTTTCCACTGTCCCTTCAGGACACAAGCAATGCTTGCTGCCTTAAGAAACCAACCACAAACTATGACCCATTCAGATATGGAAACCTGCAATTTCTGGGATAGGAAGTGGGGAGTGAATTAGGTGTGTGGCATTTGGTAGCCAGTAGCAATAAATCATAAATAGTAACTTTTGTCCTGGAATTAGCACTCTCTCAAATGTGCAGTAATTTTTCATTTTTCCTGGTCTACATGCAATTGTTAATTAAGTAAGGATTTAAAAGATTAATTTTTCTGCTAAGCAAGCATTTTAAGGTGCTAAGTCAGAGTGGGAGCAAGGTAAAGAAACTCATCAAAGGTTTCCAAATAAATTCACAGGAGTATTTCAAAGCTGTAAAGGTTTGACCAGAATGTCCATGTTTGAGAGAGAATTTCTTGGTCAGTACAGTTTATTTGGTGTGTGTAATTTCACTGCAGCTTGAAGGAATATAGTAGATTCTTCTGGCAAATGAAAACTGGCAACACGTTTAGAACAAATTGGAACAAATTAATCCTAAATATTTCTCATTCTGGGAGGAATGCTTTAATGCCTTGTATCTTTTAGTTCTATATGAGATGACTTTCAGAGTATCACATGAATAGAGAGAGCTTGGTGCATCGGCTTTGAAAAAATGCAAAGACTAATTGCCCATTCCTAAACACCATTAATATATATAGCTAAATAAAGGAAACCAGCTTTCTTTCCGGCTTTTATTTGCCAAAGTTATGTTCATGCTTGTGTTGTTTGTTTTGGGAACATGTTTTGCATTAGTCCTTCACAGCTGTGATGAAAGAATGGAAAGTGTTAGTGAAAAATTCTGTATTCTTGTGTTTTAAATAGCAGAAATTTCGGGGTAGTGGCTGTTTAGCAGTACATTTCATTAGAACAACTGGTTCTGATTATGCTAAGGACGTTATGCTAGTGATATAAATACACATGCCAGTCACACAAGCAGACAGGGGTTGTTCATGTCCTCATGCTGACAGGAAGCACTGGGTCACTCCCAGGACAGAATGCACCCCAGGAAAATAAACTTTTATAAATTAGACTACCAAAACTCAAAAGATTACACTTTTCATGCTCTTTAGTCACATTAACTCTTTATAACTTCTGATATTGTTGTTATTTACACAAAAGGACAGACCCCCTTTAAATGTTACTGGGTTTTGAACCTCCTTGACTGATTATATGTTAGGTGGAGGGGTAACTATTTTTATCATTTTATAATGTTTTGCCCTTCTGTTTCCCTGGGTTTTTTTTGATGACCGGCCATGCAGCACTACTCAATAAAACCTGTACAGAGAGGAACCATAGACCACTCCTATTTTTCTTGAGCTCTTGAGCACTACCAGCACTTGAGCTTCCACAGGAAACCAGGTTTTGTTAGGTATTGGCTGCTTTGGATACAGACATTATGGAAATACAGGTAGAGAGGCACTGCATTTTGGGCTTTGGCCTCTTGCTTAGAATCCAGCCCTTATTTGTTGCAGCAAGTAAGAGTTGATTGCCCAGCACTGCTGGCATTTGTCTTCTGGCAAAGAGATTGATAATAACTCAGATGTCTTCCAACCAGGTTTTAATATGTGTCCGTATTGATTTTCAGGCAAACTCAAACAGAGTAATAATAAATATCTGAATTAGATATCTGAAATTCATGTGTATTTATTTCCTGTACTGGGATATATTTTCAAATTGCAAAAGAAATTATAAATTCTTTTATTCATTTGTTCACCCATACTGATCTAAAAATATTCTGTGTTTTCTGGAATTGTGCTCTACGCATTGCTGAGTACTACAGTAATAGTGAGACCATTTTCCTCTGTCTAGGCTTGGCAAGAAGATAATTCTGATTCTTTTTCTCATCATCTTCCAAACTCACCATCATTTTCTTTTAAAGTTAGGCTGCATGTAGCAAAAGATAAGTGTGTCCTAGAGATTTGCAAACTGTTTTTTCATAGAGTAGATATGTGGTCTATTCATAAAATTGTATAGAAACCCTTCATTACTGTTGCTTCTGTTTATGAAAAAACATGTGGCAGAGAATAGTTTGAGCATACAGCAGACTGCTGAGATAGTTATGGAGTCCCAAGGTTACTGGAGTTGAGCTCAGGGGCCTAAATTTGATATCATCACCCTTATCTCTGGGAAATAATGTTTAAACTTCTGAATAGAGTGAAGGTTTTCCACCATTAAGTGAGGGGTTTATGTTTGGTAGCAGCAGAAGTTCAGCATTAACATTTTCATGACAAATTTCCCTCAGTATAAAAGTGTCCAAGATTAAAAAGAAAAAAAAAAAGAAAACATCAATAGGACAAAACAAACAAATGAAGAAAAGCACAAATTTAAAAACAAAATGGAACAAATGTCAGAGAGTTAATCCCAGCATTGTTCCTATGGTTCATACTGTCTGTGTCACTTACTGGAACATATTTCTCTCTCCTTTTGAAATACCTCTCTTTCTTTCTTCATCTGATAACTGCCTTTTGGTAATGCAAGACAACCAGAAATATGAAATAGCCTTTCTGCCAGTTTGGCCTGCTAAGTTAGATTAAGTGATTCACTTGCTTACTTGTTCGGCACGGTGCTGTTGCATTCTGCAGAGTTAAAACAGTAAATCTGCATAAATGACTCTCAGCCTTACTGTCGTTTGACTTGGTTCATAAAATAACAACCAAGACATATTTTTGAAGGTCAGGTTTAGTAAACTAGCTAGATTTGGTAAAATTAAGTCTATTTTATGATGTGTGCATTTCTCGTAAGACAGAAAGGGCCTAAAATAAATTAAATTTTCTTCATTAAGGAGTAATATTTTCTAATTTTGATCTCATATATTGTTGATTTACAAATCCAACATCAAATGGTTTCACCAGACAGTGATGGAATAGATGCATGTTATTTATGTTAGTTCAAAGTTCAATAAGTGAATAAGAAACCGTTAATAACATTTCTGACTGGCTTTGAAAACAGGATCCATCAAATACTGCATATTTGAAAAGATACTGTTTTAACTTTCAGATGTATAAACTTTGGTACCAAAATATTGACTACTGTTGCTGCTTCGCAACTGAATTTAGAATGTAGTCTCAGCAAGTGGCTGTGACCCTTATTTTTAGGCTGCATTGACAGAGTAGTCTGTCTCAGGGGCTTTGATTCCCAGAGATTCTGACGTTTTTCACATCTAACACTGATAAAAGTCCCTTTAAACTTTCTGAGTGAAAATTACAATGGTGCAGTTATGTGGGTTGGGGGTTGCTTCTTTGACAGATAGAAGCTGACATGTATTACTGTAATTACTGTGTAATGATATAAATGCAGTCTTGTCTATCCTGGC